AAGTAAAGAGACATCCTCGCCTTCAGTCAAAACTAGGTTGTAAGAGCCTTGACTTCTTGTCAACCAACGTGCCTTTGGATGGAAACCGTCCAAGTATCCTTATGTCGTACATTTCTCAAAAATTTCGTAGCTATTTGGATTTAAAGGTTTGGAACCACACTGTATATTTTTTAGAGGTTTGGGAGCTCTACTGCAAAATTCTCTTAAAATTAATATTATTTATAATATATTAAGGGTGGTTATATTGTTGCCATAATTTTTATTCCATACACCATATTTAAATTGCAATTAAACTCTTTAATCTTTACTTATTGTAATAATTTTTTTCTTAATTTTTTTCATCGAATTCTTATTTTCATCCTTTCATTAATTAATACATCTTGTCCTTGATAATGATCTATATCAAAGTATTTTTTTTATTTTTTAAAATGAGGGAAAAATATTTTTTCATATTATTTTATTTATTTACTTTTTAAAAATATGATGAAAAATAAGTTGTTTTACGCCATTTTTCAATAGACTTTCGTGCATAAAACTGTTATGAAATACAAAATATGTTAACTCGTGGAAAAATTTAAGGATAAGAATGACGTGAAAATCATTAGGGACATGAGTGCAATAATGAGTAAAGATTAAAAACATTAGGTACAATTAAAAGGTGGTGTACAAAATAAAAATTGTGATGTGAATATAATTACTCATATATTAAATGTCACATAAAGTGAGAATCATTTTTTGGATGATTTGAAGCTTACTACAATTCAATTATTTCAATAATACATAACTTTTCGTTTTTCAATATATAATAAATATTACAAAAATCTTGTCAAATATGAATTTTGTGTTATTAATTCTCAATTAATTAACATTAACATTAATTTAGATTTAATTAATCTTGACTTGATGAATCTCGATCTACATGGATTTAGAGTAATTATAGATGAATTTACTTTAATTCATGTATTTAGAAATTTTTAATGGATATTTAAACTTTAAATTCATATATTAGTAATTAATTCTTATGTGCCAAATGACAAATGTAGTATAAAAAAAAGATTGCTCGTTTGTAGTATTTCATCATCACAAAAAAATTGAATCGTAGAAATTGAGTTTTGAGAGTACAATTTTCTTCTCTTAAATTTCTATTCTAAATTTTATTTTATTTTAATTCGTTTGAGACCCATCAAATACTCCCAACAAATTGGTTTAATATTACTTTTACAACACTTATGAAGTATTTCATAATAACGTGAAATACGTGTTCAATTTTGACTAGTATACAATATAAGAGAAAACATTTTAACAACAAATAAAAATCATTATTATAAAAAAATTATAAAAAAAATGTTTCAACGATGATTTATGAAAGTAAATTAGGAAACAGTTTTTCGTTTCTCAACAATACACTCACTTGATTTCTTGATTTACATTCATTTTGTATTACTAAAATTAGTTAAATTTTATAGCACAATTACTTCCACAGATTAAAATAGACAAATAAATAAAAACTAAGTATAAAAAAAAAAGTTGAACGATGCCACGTCGAAGTGAGAAAGAGAATTCGTCGTCGATCTTAAACTATCAAGAAGGTGTGAATACGCGAGAACATTCAATTTCGCATTTTGTCCTAATAATTTTTGACCTATAGTCAACAATACCCTCAACATTCATCAATTTATATTAAAGCAATTTATAGTAAACATAATTAACTTATACTCCATTAAATACAATTATTACTAACTATTAATATTATTGCTTTTAAAAATAAAATAATAGTACTATACGCATATTGTTAACCTTTAAAGCATTATCATATGCAATGAAAAGTGTAAAAATGTTTGAAATCATTCTTATACAATTAAAAATTTATTATTATGTACAATAAAATGGTTTCGACAATTATTTTTATTTATTTATTTTTTCAATCCATGTCTTGAAGTATGAGTTTAGCCATGTAGCTTGACTTGTTATCATTGTTGTTGCAATATATTCTACTTCAACTGATGATTATGCGATCGTTGCTTGTTTCTCTGACATCTAAGAAAATATTTATAAATTTAGTGTGAATGCATAGTCCTATGTAATTTTCATATCGTCCACTGATCATGTCCAGTCAGTATCCGTATTTTTAGAGATTGCGTGGTTAAAAAATAGAAAAAAGTTTCGAATTTAGGTGTAAATTATTTTATTTAAAAAATGGTTGAAAATAAGTTTTTAGATAATGGAGGTCAAATGGGGAGCTAATTATGGCTGTGGCATTAGAGATAATTTCAATTTTTCTATTATTTTATTAATTAATTTTGCTTAATACCTAAGGCCCGCTTGGGAGTTTTTTCACTGATTTTGGATGGTACCGTTTATGCAGGGTTGAAAAAATTAGTGCTTGCTATTTTTTTGGCATCGATTTTGAGTGATTTAAAAATCATTAAAAATCGATGTAGTGTAATTTTGACCGATTCTCTCAACCCACAAAATCTATGAGTTTTGACTATTTCTCATATTCTCTTCTAATTTTAACATTTATAAAATAATTAGGGTTATTGACGCAAAACGTCCCTACCTATGACGGGTTGTGTAGAAAACGTCCATACGTTTGATTTTTTGGTGCAGAACGTCCCTCCCTATGCATTTTATTGCGCAAAACGTCCTTTTTCCTAATTTTTAACATAAAATGACCGATATACCCTNATGATGAGGTGGCAACACTGCATTGGCTAGTTTAAATTTGTTTTTTGATCCAACACTTGCAAATTGACAGTCTGTCAAAAATTGTCAAACTTTTCTGTACATGTAGCATTTCTCATCTCTCAAAGGTCAAACCACCCACACATCCCAATCCGACCCCACCACATTCGGTGTGTTGGCCCCTGTATATATCTAAAGGTATTTGTGAAAAGCCATCTTGAATTGGTAATGTCATTTACTCTGAGTGCTGGCTTTTGATTCACAGGTACAGAACAAGACACAGACTGGTAGACATTCTACTTGGAACCCTAAATCAGCTCTCATTGGATACATTGTTGGCTTATGGAAGAGACATTAATCAACAATTGCATCACGCGGTAAGCCCTTTTCCCAATTTGATTTCTTTTGCTCAGCTGTAAAACTTGTTCTTTGTTTTGAATCCAAACTTATTTTATTTTAATAAACTTTCAAATTTAAACTTATAATAAAAATTGTTAAATGGATTTGAAAACCCACAAATTTAATAGTTCAGCATAAAAGAATTTATCATATAAGAGTATAGTCAATAAATAGTTCAATTATTATATTATGCAAAACCAAATTTTTTATTAGGAATGGGCGCGATATGGTGGTGTGAAACAAGTTGGACTCCATACTAATCGTTTAGGCCTACTTGGGAGTGTTTTTTTTTTTAATCGGTTTTGGGTGGCACCATTTATGAGGTGTCGGGAAAAGTCGGTACTTGCTAGTTTTTTGAACACCGATTTTGGATGATTTAAAATCATCCAAAATTAGTATAATGTAATTTTGGGCGGTTCTTTCAACTCACCAAATTGATGGGTTTTGACCGTTTCTCATATTCTCTTCCAATTTTACCCTTTATAAAATAATTATTTTCAACCAATATAATTTGTTCAAAACTAAATTGATATATTAACTAAAAAATTATTTATCATTTAAAAAATTATATTATAATTAAAAAAATACACAAGTAAAAAATTACTTGTAAGATAAGAAAAATTACATTATAATTAAAAATTACTTATAAGTAAAAAATACTTTTATGTAAAAGAAGTTGTTTTAAAATAAAAAATACTACTAATAAGACAAAATTCACTTATAAAATATAAAAAATTACTTATAAGTAGAAAATTCATTTAAAATTATTTAAAAGTATAAAATTCACTTATAATTATAAAATTCACTTATAAGTAAAAATTATTAACTTAAAATTTTAAGTAAATATGTTATTTTATTTTATTATTAAGTTTATTATTAACTTATGTATAAAAAATTATTTATAAATAAAATAACAGTTATAAGTAAAAATATTTCATATAAACAATAAATTGAAATTTTTTTTACTAATGAACATATATGTAATATTGTTCTTTTAAAAAACTTTCAGATTCAATGGATGATTAACTCCGAAGCATAGGTTCGACAGTTTTAAGAATAGCTACTAAACCACTCAAAATTGATTCGCTCATAAACTCTCAAATTGATACTTTAAAAAACGCTCATAACCGGTACGTCGAAATTCCAAACACGCCCTAAGAAAATCTTTGCTCAGAGCATGTTTGATCCCAACTAATTTTAAAATATCTTTTTCCTTCTCTTCTTTTCAATTACATATTATTCAGTAACATAATATTATACGGAAATTCAAGAGTTTTCCGTATTTTTTAATCATACATTCTTAATCACAATAATCTTTCAAAATGTATTTTGACAAATGTATTTTATTAAACAAGTAAAACTCAATAATGACTATATTTTTAATTTTATTTAAATTTTAATCATTCCCAAACATGCTCCTAGTTAATTTTAGAGATTTCTCCTACAAGAAATGTGCACCATTATTGATAGTCTTTAGTCTTCACAGATTCCACTTTGCTTAATACCAAAGGAAGTCTAGTGCTTGTCTCGGTGCACTAGTTTGAAAAAATAATTGGCTTTCCCGTCAACTCAATGGCCCCACTTGCAAAGAGATAGTGCAAATTTCCATAAAGTAAAGGGGCTGGCAAAGGCAAAAGTCCATTTTACCCTGTTGTTACTGTATGTGAATAATTTATAGGAAATGAATGGAGGGCAAAATAGATAATTGCTCCAAACAATAAATATTGAGTACATGATTCATCAGACATTATTGAATAAACAAATAATATTCACCTCTCCAAAACATCTACCATTTTTCAAAATTGCAGGTTCAACAAATTGCAGTCTGAGGGTAAATACGTCCAACTAATTTCCAAGGGTACAACAAAGGCAAAAGTCGAACAAAGCAGGTTCAGCTTTTGCTTNATCATCATATTATGTCGACAGAAAAGAAAAACATCAAGCCCTCAATCTCACTAAAACTTCTGGTAGACGAGAAGAAAACCCGAGTCCTTGCGGCGGAAGCCACTAGTGATTTCGTCAATGCTTTGCTAAGTTTCCTCACAATTCCACTGGGAACTGTTGTTCGTGTCACGAAAAACCATCCCGGTTCCATTGGCTGCATGAACAACTTGTACCAAAGCATTGGACAACTTAGTGCGGACAATTTCTGCACAGAGGCGTGCAAATCAATACTGTTAAGACCAAGAAACCCCCATGCTCTTGTTTGCAAGAATCTTAAACTGAATATTGATGATACAAGCAATGAGAAACTTTTTTTTTGTAGCATGAATAGCACTTGCCGTGAGTGGACGAGTCATTATCCTAACACGAAGTGTACTTGTGGACGCATAGCCGACAGAGAGATGCCTGAAGGGTCTCAACCCTCGGATCCAGAATGTTTTGTTAAAAGAAGGACCATGTGTGTGATTACAGATGATCTGCAGGTGCTACCTGGAAATCCGATTTCTCTGGCGCAGGTGCTATCTGATTTGGGTTTCAGCGATGTCCATCAGGTTGAGGAGTTGTCTGTTGATGTTGGATTAGACGAGGTAATCTAATCTATTAACAAAAAGTAACCTTTTTATCTATGTTTTTGTCATACATAGCTCATTTTGTTTTGAACTTTTTGCAAGGATGCATGTGATATGTGTGTAATGAAGTATAGAAGTAGTTTATTTCACTTTCTTGTTCATCATATTGAACACGTCTTTGAGCTTGAGTCTGGTTTTTCTCTAATATCGGTTGATGTCTTATGCTTTTAATCACAATTACGTGACTGTTCTTTATCTGTGTTCTTTAAGGTTTCTAAGTTGCTTAAGCATTCGTTGGTATCGAAGACTCCTCTGACAGTGTATTCTTGGGGAAAAGGAAACTTGCAAATATTTCGATACCTGTGGATCCAAGAAATTCACCTTCACCAAGCAGAGAAAATCGAACATTGCCGAATCATACTGAATTCCGGGTTAAGTTAATTTTAAGCAAGTCGCAAAACAAGATATTGGGTTTGTTAGCAAAGGAAGATTGTATCGATTTTCTCTTTAGCTTCTGTACGGTCCCGCTTGGATCAGTGGTAAAGCTTTTCGACTCGAACTCTGGAGTAGGATGTGTTGATAACTTGTACAGAACAGTAGAGAGTTTGGATTCGGAGTGGCTTGCTATTTCCAAGGATGAATTAAGAAATGCTGGAGTTCTGAAACAATACAAGTGCAAAAATCATCCTTTGCAATTTCCTGATGCTAAAAAAATATGGAACCTTCGTGACCCAAGGAGCCCAACTGGTCGCGACGATTGCTTTGGTAGATTTATGGAGGCGGGACCACACTTGTTTGTAGTGTCAGACAACTTGATAGTGACACCATTATCTTCTCCGTCGAGTATTAGCTTCCTAAAAGAACTAAATGTACCTCTAAATGATATTGGAGAGAAGGAAGAAACTATACGCGAGACTGAGGTAAATTCTAGAGTCAGTTTTGTTTTGTGTAGTATGGGATATTCTAAATGTATCATCCTTTGCAATTTCTATCCCCTCTTCATACTCATTGGATGAGAAATTGATGATTCGTTCTTCTGTAACAGGCTCTTGCTTTGTTGAAGGCTTCTTTAACTTCATCATCAGCTTTAAATAATTGCTTCAAGTCCAGTGGAAATCAGAAGTTGGACAAAAGGTATGACATCATATAGCTTGTTGTTTGGATAATTAGCACAAAACATCCCTATCGTTTTTATTCATTGTGCAAATCATCCCTATTGTTTTAAATTTTGCATTTACAACCTTATTTCAACCTTTTTTGCGAAGTTGGTCCTTTCTGTACGTCTGTTCGTTCCGTTAAATATACACGTGGATTGCATTTAGATCATATCAAGGATAATTTTGTCAGGCCACTATTTTTCCTACTAAGGGCATGTTTGAGCTTCATTTTTTGTATAAAATGTATTGTGGAATAGTAGATTGATGGAGAATGTTTGGTTAAAAAATAAGAAAAAATTTTGAATTTGTGTGTAATATTATTTTCTTGAATAATGTGTGGCAGAAAAGAAGAAAATGAAAAATGTATTTTAGAAAAATGGGGATGAAACAAGTGCTAAGTAATTAATCTTTAATGTAAAAAGTTAAGAATATAAATGTACTAATGAATAAAAGTTAATAATCTTTAATGTAATTAAAATATGGTGTAGAACATTGGGATGATTATAACCGCCATAATATATTCAAACCACATTTTTTATAATTGTAGAACATTTTAATTACATAAAGTCCCATAATCTTTACTTATTGTTTAAGTTACCTCCTCAAATTTTCATTACATTTCACATAGTCTCAGATTATATTTTAAGAGAAAGTAAAAAAACTTATTTAACCTTCTTATTTTTAAGTAATTGTATATTTATCCCTCATCTTAAAGAACCTGACAAATGTTGACAAAAAATCATAATGAAAGACTATATATTAATTAATAAAATGTTAAATAGAAGAATGTGATAAAAAGTTAAGCACATCAGTGGAGTAATTAATAAAGATTAAGAATATTTTGTCTCTGTTTGGTAAAAGTTCAAATTCAAAATTTCATCCCCCATTTCATCATTTTCCCTGCGAAGAACCATAGTCCAGATAAGTTATAAATATGCAATACTAGTGATTTTACATATTTTCTATGGAGTTCTCTGAGATTTATGCTTGAATTCATATGGAATGATAGGTGTTTTAGTCAAGTTTTTTCCAATTTACAAGGCTATTCTTATGCTAATGGGTTAGGTTTTTCAATTGATGGTGTTGAAAGCCCAAAAGCACCTGTAAAGGAACGGTAAACAATTCCCATGTACAAAGGGAATGTCTAAGTTATGCTACTGGTACCGAAAAAGTTTGACAAAATTCATACTGAAGGATACTTGGCAATTTTTTATTGATTTTTGGCTCAAACATAGAAAATTGCTGTGATTAATTTTCTATACGCAGGGAATTATTCGAATTGTCCTGTTGTTTTTTATTGTTGTTAGGGAGTGACAAGGCTATTCTTATGCTAATGGGTTAGGTTTTTCAATTGATGGTGTTGAAAGCCCAAAAGTCTTGCCTAATTGGACCCCAACTGGTTTTTAGATGATATAGTTAAAACTTTAATCTGACAAATGACTTCAGAATTAAGGGTTGTATGGATTCGAGTCACAAGAGTATCATGTTGTGGGAGATATTGTTGGTGAGCAACAAGTTTGCTCGAGTCCATCGATTGGTCTCATATGATCGTGGTTCAATGCCTTTGAAATATTTAGTCTATAGTCGTGCTATAGTGCCCACGTGGGTGACCCCGGGGATGACCGCACACACTTGCACAGGAGGTGGGGATTATTTTATTCACGTGGGTCCCGCGCCTCGGCTGAGTGTGTGTTCATCCCCGCGGTCACCGGTGCGGGTCGTTTAGCATTTTTCTTTAGTCTAACCTCATTAAACCAACTGATTTTTAGATGAGATAGTTATTTGATTTTAACAATTGTCTCTACATTGTTACATTTGTTCAGCATAAATATTTTGTCTTGCATTATTAAAATCATAATATGAAGTCTTTATTATACTGTGGTAATAGTATTTATCTTCTTTTGTAGTGATGTGGCTGGGAAATAGCTTTGGAGCAAGCGGGGATGCCTTGCCCTTTTTTCAGTGAACTCAAGAATAGAGTATAGGATTGTTGTTGGTTCTCTGTTTTTTGGTCCTCTGGTTTAGAGAGTTCGTTCAGTTTTTAAAAGAATTATCTGTTGTTGGAGCGATGTTTTTTAAGTTTTCCACGTGTCAATGTATGTTTAAGCTCATTTCTCCAGAATTTAATTATCGAAGAAACTTTACTTCGTATGTATAATTATTGGTGGAAGAAATGGTATTTTAAAATTATAAGTAACTTAAGAGTGTGTTTGGTAGGGATTTTTGAGGGAAGAATTGATTTTTGAATAGTGATATGATGGGAAATGTGTGGTTGAAAAAGAAGAAAAAAGTATTGATGTGATGGAAAATATTATTTTATTGAAGAATGTGTGGTTGAAAATGAGAA